ACTGTAAAATGTTCCAGTTAAAACTAAGAGTGATATTTAGGGGGAAATGGAGCAAAAGTTCTTATTGATAAAAGCAGAGAAGTAAGGGCTGTAGTTTTTTGCTGGATCTGTTTGTGTTTGGTTTTGGTGTTTTATGTTTGAATGTGTGTGCCCGTGTGTGTGCGTGTGTGTATGAGAGAGACCTTTGGGTCTGCATGTGTTGGGGGGAGGGAGAGTCCAGACTCGGGGCAGGAACGGAGCCCTGTGGCTTAAATTCAAATCTATTCCCTCACTTTCATCTTACCCATTTAGAAGTATTTGAAGCCAAATTTGAAAATTCTTTCTCATTTTCCACCAGACCTAAATGATCTCCGCATGTATTTTTCTTTCAAAACCTGGTCTTTAGCTGTGCTGTACGTTCCCTCAGGAAGGATATACGTCTCTTATCTTAAAAATGGAATATATTTCTTACGTGGCCCCAAGGCAAGTGAACAGTGTGACGGTTTTGCATCAGAGCAGCTCTCTCCTCCTTGCTCTGGTCCCCCTGCAGTGTGTGTTTAAGATCAGGATTGCATCTGCCCCTAGGCATCATCGTTTCCACACCGCCTCTTTTCTCCTTCTGAAGCCCCCTCTTCCTTGCTGGTCCCCTCTTCAGAGACACTGAACAACTGTACTGTTACACTTCCATCCCGCTCACCTTCCAAAATGCTTCAGTGGGGTGAGCCTTTACCTTGAAATGTCTTAATGAAATAGGAGGGAGGGGGCCTACAGGTCCAGAGGCTGATTTTGACATACATGTGGCTGTCCCATAGAAACAGCAGATGACGAAGGGCTATATTTAAAACAAATTCTTCTGAGTTTTGTGCTATGAATGTATGTCCGACTCGTCGCCCAAAGATTTAGTCAGGTAACTCCCTGAAGGCTAATAAAAATGACAGCACTAGAAGCTGCGGGATTATAGGAAAGTCTTCTTGGGAGAGAGACATTTTGTTTTCAAACTTGCATTTTTCTGAATGAGTGTCAGATTTCTGAAAATGGAAAGATGACCCCGGTTAACTTCTGAATGTTCTAGAGCCCTGAGGTTTTGATTCCTACTTCTGGTTCCCTCCGCCAGACCAGATAGAGCCCAGAGCCCCACGGAGGCAAGGCTGCTGCGGTTTGCTTCTCCGCTCTTTCGGAAGAAGGGGTGGGAATTCAGGGCACAGCTCTGCGGAAGGCCCGGGACAGGGCTGCCATGCGACACACCATGCCAGTCTGCAGTGAAGTCTCAGTACTGCTCAGCTTCTCTGAAACAACATCGGCTACTGGAACCCTAAAACACACACACTGCAATCTTCCAGAAATTAACTACCAACTGTTTTTATTCTCTTGCTTAATGATCTTTTTGAATCAATTAGAACAAAAAATACCATTATGCAAGCAGCATCCAGAGAAGACAAATTAAATTTCAGTGATACAGCATTAACTACTATTAATATTTCTTTAACTAAAGCCACAAAAATCATTTGGAGGTTAATCCCAAAGTAATCAACAAATGGCCAAGACTCATTTTGGGGAAAAAAGTAAAACTCTGGCAAAAAAAAAACCCACTGCAGAACCTGATTTTTTAAAATGTCTCAAAAGTAATTTTTATATCCTATATCTTTGATCTTTATTTTCATGATAAATGTATTTTCTTGAAGAGGTGGTACAAGTTGGACACATGGTTAGTTGTATTGAATAATTACACATACACACAATATATCTGGCATTTTTACTACACTGAAAATATTTATTATAATCGAACATGTTCTGTATTATTTTAAAGTTCTACATTATTCACCTCTGTATTTTCAGCCCCAACAAGGAACAGGAACACTCAGACATTCAGTGAATATTTCCTGAGTCAATGAACTCTGCACAGTGTTCAGAGTCACACAATTTATGGTTTAGCACTTAAAATCAGCTTGTCACCGCTATAGGTGATCTTACCCAGGGTTCTTAGAGTTATATTCAAATATTCCAAGGCTGTGGTGAAAAGTGTGCTCATATTTAATCCCATAAATATTTTATGGGATATTTAATATGGACACAGATGAGTGCTAAGTCTCTGCTGTCAGTCTATTGTTTTCCGCTTTGCATCTGCCCTGTCCCTTCAGCGAGAGTGGGCTCTGTCTGCGGCCCACTGCATGCACGCAGGCTCCTGGCTGCTCCTGGCAGCAGAGACCGGCCCCAGCGCTGTGACGTATCTATTTAATTAGCACAGCTGTTATAGCTACTGTGCAAAGGACAAAAGGGTGGAGCTGCCTTGGAAAAGGCACGGTTATAAAATGGGAAAAAATGAACAAAATTTCTGGAAACAAAAGGCCCATGCATCTCTCTTTTCTCCAAAAGGTAAACCTTAGCTCTCCATATTTTACCAGCCTAGAGGTTCAAACCAAAGGGCACTTTGCCATACACTTTGTGATTTTTTGAATCACAAGCCTTGTTTAAATTTTTTCCCCAGAAAAACATGTAAAATAAAATTGCCCTGTGTAAAATTACTCATCAACTGAGCAAAGGTTTGTCTGTTGTTTGTTTATCCCTTCAGATTTAATAGAGGAGTCACATCAACTGTCTCCTTAGCTTCATCCAAATATAATATTGTTCCCCTGGGAAATATTCACATCAAAAATAACCGTGAGCAAAATGCGATGGTGCTGAGGGAAACAGTGAAGCCCAGTTGTGGTTTCATAGGTTTCAAGATGTTCACATGCAATTTCAATGCCCCAATAAATTCCATGATGAGGAAGGCCGATTCTTAGGATCTGTTACAACATGCAATAATCCATAGTAACTGCTAAGTTAGAATGTGAGTAACATATTAACTGCTAATATTTTGGGAGAAAAAAACAAACAAAAAACCCCTGACCATTTCACGCTAATGGTGTTGGTAACTAACTGGATAGGACCATCTACAGTATGATGGAGGAGAAAGAATCAAGTATCTATTTAAGGCACTTTCAGAATCAGCAAATGAGATGACCCTTGAATTTTAAAAGTCAAACTCTCCACCATACAGATGAGAACACAGCCTGAGAGGGAAGAAGTGGCTTGCCCAGGGGTTAGCCAAACAGTCCAGATTGGAATGGGCTATAGGCTGCACTTTGTGAACTCACACGTACTGAGCTGAAGGTGTTCTGTGAATTTTTTAGAACCTGCTCCCCCGGATACACGCTACTTCCTTCCCTTTCTCTTGTGGTTTCCTCCACATACTCCCAGCACCTAATACAATGCCTTTCCCTAGTGTGTACTAAATAAGTATTGGCGGAATGAATGAAAGAACAAGTGAGTGAGCTGTTGCAAGCATATTTCTGTACTATATATGATTGCTTTATGCTTGTTTCCAGATTGTTATCACTTTACATTTATTAACATTTCCACCTGTTCTTTGCTATTTTGGTCCCTTTCACAGTGCAGTGAACACCATTTGTCTGGTTTATTTCTCCCCTTTTGCTTGGCTTAGCTTAAATTTTCAGGAAAAGAATTACCAGATCAATAAGAATGCGCATTGTAATGATTCTAGATTATATGGCCAAATTGCTTTCCCAAATAATTTTATTAATCTATAATGATACTAACAGAGTACTGGCAGAATGATTTCATCACAACCTAAATTGGAGTTAGTGAGAATCATGAGAAATGAAAACTAAGTAAAAATTAATTGGAAATTACTTGTGCTTTTCATTTATTTTATTGCATTGTCCATTTCTACGTATCTTTTTTTCTGTAATTGAATTTATCTTGTTTTGAGCTATATCTCATACTCCTTAGTATCTTATGTGAAGACTTACGTGAAAACCTCCCTCCTCCTCATATTTTATAAGATAATCACTTTCTTCCACACTTAGGATTGAGCCATGAGGAGGAGGTCATGGAAAAGAAGTAGGATAGACTGAAGGTACACTTTAAAAAAAATGTATAAAATATCCTAAAGTGAGAGTCCCAGAAAATATAATCTATCTACAAACATAAGCTTAAAAATCAATAATAATTCTCTAACAGTAAGGTAAAGGATAAACAAAAGTAAATGATAAAGATGTAATACATGTTTTCACACAGAAGTACTCAAGACACAATTTCACTAGAAGGCATAACGAGGTAGGCAGATGTGTACACTGATATGCAATATCATCAGGGACGCAACAGCTACAAATTCTGACGAGCACCTGTGTGTTTATTGGCAACTGAAATGCCAGCAGGGGCATTACTATCTGCGATGTGTGCAAATTTACAAACAAAGAAAAATTCTTTCAATTTGTTTGGTTGTTACATTTTTGGACAACTGAATCTAGATACTTAATATATATATGTGAGAGAGAGAGAGAGAGAGAGAGTGTGTGTGTGTGTGTGTGTGTGTGTAAGAAAGTTATAATGCAGGCTCAGATAATTTTAAGCAGGCTTCTTATGACACAATGTATGTAAGGACATTTGAAGGTCATGCAGACACAAGAGGTGTATATTGCAGGATAAAGTTCTCATGCTTGGAAGGATGTTCAGCACCCCTGGACTAAATGCTCACAGAGTCCCCCAAACATCATGGTACCCCACCCACAAAGAACCCCTGACGCATTTCTAACCATTCCCACTCCCCAGAATGGTGTAACCACTACTGGGAACCTCAGACAGAGAAGAAGCTGGGGCTGGGTAGAGAGAGGGAGTTTTTAAAAAAAGAAACCCAGCCACTGCTACAACTCCAGGGAATGACAGGAAGACATTATAGTGCTAAAGCTCTCTTCTATTCTTTTTTTTTTTCCTTTTTTGCCCAGAAGAGAAAGTACTACATAAATGGAAAGCAAAGTCCCAGGACTGTGAAAGGAGGTGGGCTCTAAGACTGCCCCATTCCAACCCTGCCTGGACAATGACAACCTGAAGCTAATGAGCAGCTTGGGGTGGGCAGGCAGAGGAGCCGCTGGGTTGAGCTCTCCTAGCCAGGCGGGGTTCCCCTGGAGCTTGGAAGAGAAGTGGAGAGGGTGCACAGGTTGGGGAAGAGAAGGATTAGACTAGGAGTGGCCCTGGGCAGATGGTCCAGCCCAGTTCATCTCAGGGATGTTAGGAGATCCAGGAGCAGAGAGAGTAGCTGGGCCCCGACCACACGGAGGGAGTGCCGGGCCACCAGGCCCACCGGCTGCGGATGCTGTCTGGGCACATGGAGCAGCAGAGCCCGCGGTGACTGGGCAGCCACGAGACACCCCTGCAATGGAGGCCAGCCCCGGCCAGAGCGCGGCACAGGGGCTGACGGCGCAGCCCAGACCCCCGCTGCGGCCCAGCATCTTCGGGGCCCACTGGCCAGACTGCTCTCCAGACAGTCAGATACCATCTCAGAGCGTTTAGGAGCCAAAGGACAGAAATACAAACTCTCTCGACATCCTTACCTAAAGAAGTTCGGTTTATCTCCTCCTTCACAAAACCACTCGAAAATCTGTTGGACTAAGACAAAACTGCTGAATAGAACGCAGTTAAGTACTTAAATCCTCCCCCCTCCCATCCTCTCAGATGGAGGTTTAGCGAGGGGGGGAGGGAATCAAACAACAGAAAAATTCAACAGGCCCACTTCTTTGTACACATGGGTGTGCCATGAGCAAACTTCCAGCTCATGAAATCATCTAGCTAGAATTTAATTCAACAATTCTTCACTAGAAGCTGAGCTCCACGAAGGCAAGGATTTTATCTGATTATATTCCCAACACCAAGAACAAAATCTGGCATGTCTTTGGTGCTCAAAAAATCATTGAATAAATGTTCATTATAATAATCATTATAATAATAGCAACTCTCATATTGAGGAACTCACCTTAAGGATACAGAATTGGAATAATCCACCCATGCCACCTCTCACCATGAAATCCAGGTTTTAACTTCAATAGTTCAACTGATACTCATCAGATTTTACCCCGAAATCCTTAAGCTATCCACTATGAATACAGTACTAGTGCGTCCTTGACTCATTTCAGAAATGTATTTCAATTCAAGTGATTAATTAAAATTAAATAAAGTTTAAGATGCACTTCCTGAGTCCCACTAGCCCCGTGCTAAGTGGCCATTTGATAGCCGTATATGACTGGGGCCTCCCAGAGTGGGCAGGGAGCTTAGGAAAATGAGTGGGTGGCACAGCCCATTTCCATCAGCGCCTCACTCTACAGGACAGTGCTGGCTAGAGTGTCGTCAGCTTTTAGCTGTCTCTAAGTAGGACCTCTCCAAAGCTTCCTCCTCTTCAAAATATTGATGGCTGGTTGAAAGTGTTCCTCTGACATCGTTCAGTATCTGAGAAAAGCTGTAAGATTTACATTTGCTGACAACGTATTTGCAGGCTTCCCAGGTGATGCTAGTGGTAAAGAACCTGGCTGCCAATGCAGGAGACATAAGAGACCTGGGTTTGATGGGTTGGGAAGATCCCCTGGTGGAGGGCATGGCCACCCACTCGAGCAGTCTTGCCTGGAGAATCCCATGGACAGAGGAGCCTGGCAGGACATAGTCCGTAGGGTTGCAAAGAGTCGGACACGACTGAAGTGACCTAGCACAGCACAGCACATTTTTGCAACTTCTGATGCATTTCTTTCTATAGGAAGACCTAGGGATACTGTACAGTTGTTTCTGCATACATAAACTTACATAAATAAAGAGCCTAATGATTGTATAGAGCCTTATTGGGAGGGAACATTGCTATTTAATGGGGATGATGGAAGTGATGGTGAATAAAATAAGGAGATTTCTCCATCTTTCCTCCAGAGCCTGTGCTGAGTGAAGTCAAGTCACTCCATCCAGCCCATCACATACTGTGATGTCCACAGAACAGGGCACAAGGAAGAGATATAAAAAACAAATGCACTGGACATTCACTGTGCTAAATTCTTACTCTCCATGTGGACTTCTCTTCAAAGGCCAGACTTCTCAAAGTTAATATTTTTTCATGATATTGAAAATACATCAATGTTTGACATGAAATCATGAAAATATTTTTGATCCTCTGCATAGAGAAGCTTTCTGGGATCGAGTAATATATTCTGTACACCAAACAGTCAAACTGTACCAAGCCCAAGTTATACTGTTTTAAAATCTCATGAAAAGTCAGAGACTAATATCCTTACCTCTCTACTTATGGGAGCCACTGCCCTGCTCTGATGTCCACCTCCCTCATCAATACCTCCCTAGACAGATAAGTACTACCAATTTACAAAGACAGCTTTCTAAACAGCATTTTAAATTTTTTTAAAATATGTTTTGGCACTTAAAGAGTAAGCTTTAATTACCTATAAATATCACAAGAAACACTCCACAATATCAGATGCATAAAGAACTCCTAAATTAGTATATTTCGGATGTAAAACACAAATGTTATTTTCAATCTATTATTAGAATTATACGTGTGTTCAAAAGCTAAGGATCCTTCTCATCTAAAACAAGATTTAGCTTCTCACCTTTTTGTTGTCAAAGAAAGGCAGGCTCGAGTCCAAACACGCTCCTTCCCTCTCCCCTGCCCCAAAATAAAGATGAAATGACTAAACTCCTAACTTTAGTTTCCTCATCTGTCGAATTAGAATTGCATCTCCCTCAGAGATCTGTGGGGAAGAATAAATGACATTATGCATGAAGATGACCGGCATGGTGCTTAGCATATCACAAGCTCTCAGAAGGTATCAGAAGTGCTGTCATTTATACATGATCTCATCTCCTGCTGATGTGACCCTCAAGTCACCGAGGACGGCACAGTTGTGAGCTGCCAGAACAAAAGCAGCAGGAGCCAGAGAAACACACTTGGTATCAGAGGCGAGGGTTCAAACCCCAGCTTAGACCAGTGGAATACACAAAGCAAAAAATCAGGCAAATTCCTCAGTTTCTGCTCTGAGTCTCAGTTTCCTACTGTGTCACTTAGTTTAATGAATGCTTAGCTCACAGGATTTTTAATAAGATTCAATCACCATCATCAAGAAAGCAATTATCTGTTAAGTGAGAGGAGGGCAGTTCTCATGCATATCTTTAAAAGGGAGGCATTCACTAGAGAAAATGGTTTGTGTGTCCAGGAGAAAGTGATTCAGTTGACATTAAAGTCACGAAACTCCTGAGAAGTGTTTCTATGCTGACATGGATGCAGAACAGGTGAAATGGCAGTCTTGAAGGAACTATCTGAAATATGAGCTTGTGAACTAAAATCATTCCATGACAAAGTATTTATGAGCAATGAGGAAAATACAGGCTGCGTGTTACACAACAGTCTGTTTTCCCAACTTGAAGGACTATCCTTTAAAACCCCTCTACTTTAGTACTAGTTGAGTAAACTCCAGGAGTTGGTGATGGACAGGGAGGCCTGGCATGCTGCGATTAATGGGGTCACAAAGAGTTGGACATGACTGAGCGACTGAACCGAACTCTAGTACTAAAAGAAATGCCTTTCTTACAGGTGTTAAAGTAGATGGTGACGAAGAAGTTGTGTGTGTGTGTGTTTAAAGACTTCGCCAGAATTTATTTTAATCAGAAACTGTGTTGTTTGAATGTTTTTATTTAAATTTACTGGTCTGTGAAATTCAAAAGTCCAGCCAAATATGCCATTATCAATAGCCATTTTCAAATATAAAAGACATATAGGATGACGAAATGGAATCACTAGAAAGAAAACAGAATCATCTTCTTGCTTGGTTATCTTAAGTGTTTATGAATGACATCACACTCCCAAAGGAAACAGAGGTAGTGGGGTTAATTACAGTTCTCACCATCACAAACAGTTGTCTGAAACTTAGGAAATAGCTCCAGGAGTTGGTGATGGACAGGGAGGCCTGGCACGCTGCAGTCCATGGGGTCGCAAAGAGTAGGACACAACTGAGCGACTGAACTGACTACAAAACAGACATTCTTTTCTCTCTGTTAATTGCTTGAAAGATTTAGAATTCCTTTTAGGTCGAAGGTCTGTTAACTATGGTCACTGACCAAAGCTGACTCACTGTTATTTTGGTAAATAAAGTTCTATTGGAAAAGAGTTACACCCATTTACCTTTGTCTGTGGCTATTTTTGCTACAAAAGCAGATTTGAGAAGTTGCCACAGAGACCTTATATCCTACAAAAACTGGACTTTTTGCTCTCTGGCCCTTGGCTGAAAAAGTCTGCTGTATTCTGTTTGGGGTAATAGTTTTATCTTTTCCTTTAAAATCAGGTCATGGTATACAACGTCCTGTCCAATATGAGATTTAGTGAAAGGTTTGAACCTTGTGTGGTAGGCAGAGCTCTTCAGCTACATGTAAGCTTTGCTTGGGAAGCAAATGCATTGCTAAAACTATATTTAACAATGAAAACGTCTTGCTCTAAATGGACACACCACTCTCCGAGGAAACATCTCCACGTCTCCTATTATCCAAAGCTCTGAAGCAGAACTCTGTGCCTCATCACAGTCATCGGAAATTACACAGGGCTTAGTGAGAAAACAGTAATTGAAATTCAACCCACTTTCTCTTCTTCTTCTTAAAACAAAATTAGCTGGAAATTTGATGTATTGAGAAAACCATAATGAGTATCTATGCTCTGAAATGGTGAAATGAAACAGCACATAAATATAAAAGAGCTGGGAAAATGTATACACGATTATACAAAGATTGGCTATTGCCTCTGAAAGGTGGATACACTACAGAAAAACAGTGGCTGGTCCAGATGGATTTCTGGCTTTTGTATGATGAAGATCTCACTTCTTGAGGAGATGCTGTGATCGAGATTATTATTACTGCGTAACAAACAACAGCAGCAGAGGCACCGAGGTTGCTCCATATTGCCCCTTGCAGACAACATTCAGAGGGTGCTTACTGTGTGTTGAGCACTATATGAAGCTTTTAATTTAATCTTCACAACAGTTCTATAGGGTAGGTACTTTTCAGCACGTTCTTTTTATAGAAGGAAAATTGAGGGTGGAAGGGAAATAAACATGCAAAAAATGTGACACCTATTTTTATATCTGTATAATATTTGTATGTATAAAAAGACATAGGTTGACAGAACTTCAAAAGACTTATATTTATCATGCATACATTATTTCCTATATCATGCAAAATGAATACTGTATCAAAATTACAAAACACTTTTTCTCTCCTTGTGTCTAAGCAGGTAATGTATTGATTATAGGAAGCCTAATTTATCTTCCCAGTGGCCAAATATAGTTAAAATAACTGCAAACTTGCTTTGGCCAGTTGTTCAGTAGTAAGTGTGAGGCAGTTTAAAGTGTGAGAATTTAAAAGTGTGAGGCACCTGTCCTCGCTTGCCGTTTGTGTGAATAAGCCCGGGCTCAGCCTGTGG